CCTCTTTAATTGCTGAACGTGAGAGCTGCCATTTGTCAACACACCTCTTAAAACCAAATACGAAGTGTGGTCAGCTGTCTCATGATCTCAGACGAAAGTGAGCGTGCTGATACAAACTGGGGTGAGGGCCAAAGCGCAGTGGTGGTGAGCTACAGCTGGGAAAGCAAAGGAAGACTGTGGGAAGTTGGAACACCTGCTTCCTTAACTTGTTTGTACATAGCTAAATCCTTGCTCCACTTATCTGCCAGGAAAGTTTGCAAATCCAAACAACTGTACTGAGACAAAGCCTAGGAGAAGACGACTCCCTTTTGATCTATTTGGCAAAATGGCCGCGGCCCCACCCCCACTCTTTTGAAGACTTAATTTGGGTTGTTTTTAAAGGGATTTACGGACATTTAATAATGTCCTAGAAAGTGGCTTTAGCCAGGATTCAGCCCATTCCATTTCTTTCTTTTTTTTTTTTTTTTTTTTTTAATAACCTGAAGCTCAGCATAGTCTGTCTCCTGCTTGTCCGAAAATAGTTTGCTCCAGGAGACGAAGCATCCATGCAGGTACGAGCACACACAGCTCACATCCCAAGCTGAATTCCTGCTTGTTTTGCTGCTTAACAAGTGGAAGTATCTGAAGGTGTGCTGTGAAGGTTGCCCAGCTCTTGCCTTTGCGGATCCCAGAAGAGTCCTGCAAATCGAGGGATGCAGCTCTGCAGCTCCTCGCGTGCGTTCCCAGAGCAAATACGTGACGAGACGTGGCCCTACCCAAAGCAGGGCTCTCGCCACCCTCGTGCTCAGCATGAGCCTGCTTGGCTGGGTTGGTTGGCCGCCCTGGGTTGGCTATTGCAAAAATGCCACGGTAACACAGCGCCTAGCAGCTGGGTCCTGCGTGCCTAATAAGCACTTGAGGAAGTAATTTGAATTTCTCTTTTCTACCCAGCCTCTGATTCCCATGAAACTTTTATGAGCCCCACAATACACACGCAGCAATGCATCTGTTAACACGTTCTCCCTCTGTCATGTGCGGCTGAAGACAGCCAGCGACTTCTCAGGTGCATGTGCAGGAAGAAAAGCAGCAGAGCAGATGAAGCAGACGAGCCTCATCTCCACCCCATGCAGACTAGGAGCCCCTAGTTTGGGGCTGGGTGAGGAGGGGTTGGCTGCTCTAGGGTGTGAGTAGCAACTGGTAACTTAATTCCCTTAAAAATCAGCTTTGTAGAAAGGGTAATTTCTCCTTCGGCTTGTAAGTTTGTGATTTCTGTACACTGGTTTCTTCTCTCATGCTGCCCGATGCAGATGATGTTCTGTTTGTCTGAAGTTACAGAACTTGCAACAAACTGATCAAAATATCCACTCGTCTTTTCATGTCATTATAGTGTACTTAAATGCAAGCTAATGTGTGCTACTGAGTGAAATGTAGTAATTAGGTGATTACGCATCAAAAACAGTTTTCACTTCAATGTAAAGAAAATTCTACGTCGTATTCCAGCCTCTCATGAGTCAGAGCTCACGTAACATTGTCATGTTTCAATACTCAGAATAATTTTTATTTTCAACAATTGCAGTGAAACAGCTAGATCTTAAGAGTCAGAAATGCTCAAGTTTGACTGTAATGTTCTCTTACAAAAATATGACAGTATTGCATGTACACGAGCCATTTAAACGTGAACATGTGATTGCCCGAGTTTAACAGAAGTTACTCATATGAGAGAGACTACGCACCACTGCACCACCCCACAGTAAAGAGGGGACATTTCTATTTGGGGTTTTCTTCTGGGTTTGTTTTACAACTTTGAGCATTATTAGTAGCAACGGCACTCCTGTGAGATGGTATGGCTTCTTTTACCTAACTGGATTAATAGCTTTGCTGTATGGAGCTTGGTTAAAAACCTGTGCCTCCAGCTACCTACACGTGTATGATACCTGTGTGATCCAGACTGCTGGCATTGACCCGCTTGCTGCTTCTTACAGGACAGAGCTGCTGTTTCAACCTGGGAAATTGTGGAAGGAGGGGAAGCAGAACAGCAGCCCGAGAAAAAAAGCTGATCCTTCATCCTTGGACTTGTGTTTTATTTCAGCTGCAACAGTTGTAAATACTAATACTTTCCAAATAAAATCTCTGGAACAGAATGGCTAACAAAGATATAATCTGAGTGAAACTGTTGACACTGCAACTAGGTAAATAAATACAGGACTGGCAGCAGGTGCGTACACAGCGCAGGTGATGGAAGCATCCCAAACATGGCAGCATGGAAGCAGCTGTGTTGTCAGGCACAAGCCTCAGTATATCCTAATGCAGGAAGGGCCCCAGCCCCAATTGCTATGTGATCTGCACTCGCACCCTGTTTTGCTGAGCTGGCGCTGAGAATTAAAACATAGCGAAGGCGGAGGCAAGAATTTAGGCCTGTCTTCGAGGGTGAAAACGCTTCATTTTATGCCCAGGGGTTGTGTTCCCCTCAGACACAGAAGGAGGTGACACTTTTAGCCTTGAAGTATTTCCTTATTGCAGAGTTGCTGGTTTGGTCTGTGAAATCTTTAACCGTAATATGATGGTATCCAGCTATCTGTAAGGCTTGGTGTCTTTTCAGTTTGCTTTCGCACAGAATTGAGATTTGCACACATTGAGATTTCCCTCGCGCTGGGAGTGCAGCACGCTCAGGATCTCTCCATCAGAATTGGGAAGATAAAATTAGTATGTTTAGTTATTACCTATTCAGTTACCTTTTTTCTTTTGCCATGTTTGTGTTACCCCTGCCCCCGACGGTGTGGCTGTAGGTGGATGCAGAGAGGCAGGCCTTACACAAGGCGACCTGTGTTCTAGTGGCTGAGTTTACATGGGGCTTGTACTCACCTACTGGCCTACCTTCTTTAAATCAGTTTATGAGAAGGTAACAAAAATAAGAACATGGGTTCACCTGGAAGGAATTTCATGTGAAAATACAATTCACACAAGTAATCTGTTCAAAAGGATAAAGGCTGTCTCTTATATTGTTGAGAATAAAACACGTAGCTGTTTTTCTGCTCCCTTTTTTGTGTATCGGTACTCCTAGAGAAGATGGGGGGGTCTTCATTAGCGCTTTGGCAGATGCTTATTTGACACTGTTGGTATTTTAAGTTTGCTGATGGCTGTATTGCTCTAGTAAACTAGAATGAATGGTGAACAGTCAGCTCGGCTTCTGCGGCAAATGTGATAGCAACATACCAAACAGTACACACAATTAATTTGCTATTATTTTTATTTCCTACCAAAAGAAACTGCTACATTTCCAGAATGTTTAAAAATTGTAACAATTTGTATACATTAGTGAATAACAGAGTTACAACTTCTGTGTAGATTTAAAACCAACACGGCAGGTTGAAATCTGTACTGAGCTCTCTTAATTGATTGACTTCGCCTACAAATGCCATTTAGATTATAATACCACCGATGTTCTAAACACAAAAAAAACGCTCATTTTAAAGGAAATCCAGTAGCCATTTTAAAATCAGTTTTAACTTTCTGATTTTATTTAAAAGGAGCCGGGCTTCTCAAGTAGTTTTAGGGGGAAAAACAATAGTAGCTTAGTTTCCCCAAAGACAGTTTACGAAACTGCTTAAATTAAACACCAAAACCCTATCTCTTATGAGTAGACATTGCTCTAATCTAAAAAGTCTGTGAACTCTCATAGACCAAAATGAGCAAACATTTAAAAACCTATTTTAAAAATAGGTAACTGATTTAAAAAGAAAAACAAAAATGCATCGGGGTGAGGTAGTAGTCACAGTGCATCCAGAAATATCAACTATAAGGGCTGAAGGGAAATACTCGGAGCAGCCTTTCTGATTCCAGGTGCTTTCTGTGGGCAGCTATTGCAAGGTACGAGAATGCAATCTGGCTAGTATGCGTGACATCATGTTCCACTCTAGAGCTAGATCACTGGAAAAGAGTGGCTGCAAGGAATATATAACATCTATTGCAATAACTAGACAAGTTATACGCTTGTTTCTGTGCTTTATTGAGTATATACAGTTGGAGCTAGATTGTAGGATTAAGGGCAGTACCCACTGAAATGTACTTTGCATGAACTTGCCCCTCTCTCCTTATTGGTTCAATCCCTACAAGCTTTGACTGAATTTCCAAAAATTTAAGAAAGGATACTGTGCAAAATCCCACGCAACTTCCCCTTTATACCCAACACTCACCTGCCCTGCCAACGAGCCAGACAGGTATGGCCTTAACAGTAGAAGTCCTGTCTGTCTTGCTAAGGATCAAGCAAAAAGCCCCTAAACCCAGGTGCTGCACTCGGAGCTCAAACACCGACCACCATCTTTCTATTCCTGCCCTTGACTTGCAGCGTACGGCTGCCCGCACAACACTACGAGGGTACAGGTACGTGCTGTTGGCTGCCTTTTGTTCCTCCTGCTGGTTAATAGCTAGCCGCCTACGTATCTGTACGCTGATCTTCTCAGAGCTCTAACTCAGCAGGCAATTTGAGTTTTAAAAGCACTTCACTCTTCCATGATCACTGAGAGTTTGACCAGTTCAGTTAGGTATCCCTAAGTTTCTTACCCCGCCTAGTACCTCTCTAAATGATAATTTCACAAAGTTCATCATACTGAGTTCCAGATGAGTCAAGGTCAGCTAAAGGAATAGGAAATATTTTTTTTCAGGTAAGCATAATTACTGTTTAATGCTAAGATACCTACAGTATATCCTTATTCTGCAATGGGGGAACCTTTAAAAAAAAAAAAAAAAACCACAACCAAGACATTGCAGGAAGGGGTGTCTTGTCAAAATGAACGCTGCCTCTGGGACCGGGAATGGGAAAAGGCAACTAATTACATTCAAAATCTACAGCAACTCTCATGCATTCCCTTTCCAAAGAGGCTTACTTTTTGCTTCTTAATATACTAGCATGGCAAAAAAATGAAGTGCAATAGCTAATTCTAGACAGAGGGTCTAAGAATGAAAACATGACAACCTTGGTGCAATCCAAGAAATTCAGTTGAGCTGGTGGAAGAATTTTATCGAAGTATCAAGTGCATTTTTTTTTTTTTTTGCTGTTCACACTTTAGTTATTGCTCAATAACTATCAAAAAGAACAGAGGAATACTTTCAGTTTAGTTTTATTATATTATAACAGATCTGCAACTACAGCTTATTTCAGCCAAAACATTTTTGTATTCCAAACTCTTAAAAAATATCTACATTAATCATATTTTTCTATTCTTAAAAATTAAAAAAAAAAAAAAAATCTACCTAGCATACCAATGCTGCTACAGCACTTGAAAGGGTGCATTACTTATGTAAATTCTACGGTAAATGTAATTACTCTTGCAGTCCTTCCTTTTCTTCTTCTCTGCTGCTTTGGCTTCAGGTTTCAAAAAGTTTGCTAAAAGCTGTTCCAACTTCTGAAACCATGTCAGAGGCAGTCATTGAACGTCCAAATTTTTGAAAGGCTTGGTGGTTAGACTGCCTCGTGAGAGAGCAAGCTCCAAACGCAGCCACTAGAAAGGGATTTTGACTAAAAGGAAAAAAAAACCCAACATTATAAACAACATCTGAACACTCTTATGTAATTCATAAGGTGGTGGACATAATCTTTGTACCCATAAATGTTTGTCAGCATTGTCTGGAAGGCCTCTTAAGCAAACACCTGTGTTTCTCAGACGCTTGCATTGCAGAGCGCCTTTGGCTGAATTTTTTTTAACAGATACTTCCCTTCCCATGGCACAGCATGTGACTGAGTGAGAAACACCACCAGGGCCAAGGGATGCAAAAGCAAAACATGCTTAAAAAGTGGGTAAGAAGGTGTTCCATGTCTAGTTTTACCGATGTGAAACTTTATCCCTTCCTTCAGAGGAAGACTGAAGTCTCACCTGGCAGCCTTTTAACTCCCCTTCCTCCCCACTCGCTGGGTAACTCAGTTTAGTTTTGTATTGTGAGGGCAGGGGGGGAGGATGTGGGGATGCGGACGAGATGATTTTTAACAGGGCCATAGTCACTGCTCTAGAGCCTTCATTAGGTCAGCTCAAAAGGGGTACAGTGACAGCTGTAGACCACAACAGAAATTAAGGCACACTCTCCTAATGTCTCCTACAAACTGCCTAAGAGAGTGTACCCAGCCCCAGTCCTCAAGTACTGAACCTCCCCCAGAGAAGGCAGCACAGCCCTGACACCTCCAGAGCACCTTCTCACAGGCTGGGCCGCGGCAGCTGCTTCTGCTGCCTTACAGCACCAGAGCAGAGGAAAACAACTGCAGAGTAATTCAGCAGCCAGCCCTGGGCTCCAGTTGCTGGCTGGTTAAAACCTCACAAAGCTCAGCCATGGATGGGACAGTGCTGCCTGTAAGTCACTAAGGTCCTACTGACTCCTGTGCCGGTAAGAAAGAGCTTTGTGAAGGATCACAAAACACAGGCAAAGCAGAATGTGAGTTCACAGTGTTACCAGGGCAGCTTTGAGTATCTTTTCCTTGAAAACAACAACTTCATACACTCATCAAGGTGCAGGACTGAGTATTTAAGCCATCTTGAGAGTCAATCCTGGATGCCCAAATGCTGCTCTGAAACAAGAGCTGGGCACAGGCTTCTGGGCTCAAGACGGCTAAAGCGCCTATTTCTAAGGTTACCGTGTAACCAGTTTGATACACACCGTACTCCAAAGACATCCTGTCTACTTAATAGGAGAATCCTACCTACTACGCCATTAGCACCCCTGAAAGCCAGCGCAATCTTAATGTTTCAAAATCCTGCTCTGCACAGACCCATTTTGAAACAACAGAGCGAGGCACAAGCGTGGAAGGACTGGCTGGACTGCCTGCAGTGCAGTCTACACGCTGATGCCCTGATTCACTGAACCTAAAAAGCTCCTCCTTTCCTGAAACACACGAGATAAACAGGATTGGTACAGCAGGTGTTTGAGAAGGGTCACCTTAACACCACCACAGGAGACACAATGTATTGCTGATACCAATTATACTCTCCCACTTTTCCTTCATCTATAAAATAAAGGAGTTTCTGCGTAAGCTATTTGGAAAAGCCACAGGAGCCCAAGTCAGGAGAGCCTGGAGAACATGTGCTGCGTTTGCTAATCTCTCCAACAATTTAATACTGATCTGTTGTACACCATGCAAAAATGAAGTCATCCTTTTAATGAAGTAAAACAAAATTCCTCCTTTAGTGGCAGCTGCAGCTTCAGCTACACAAAAATCTTGGTTTCATTTTTCATTCTGGGTATGTTAGATTTCAGAATTTAAGGTCTGGTTCAACTGGTCCCTCATTCCTCCTGGGGGACCTAGTGCAGTGCCCTCACAGCAACGCAAGCACAGACTAGTTAACTCCCATGGACACCTAACTGTGTGCATCTGCGTGTAGCATCCAAAAGACTACAAAAGATCTCCACTCCTCAAGCTTCAATAGCTCATTACTTATTGGGAAGAGGGACTGTTACTCCCTAACTGCTTGTGACAGGGTTCCTTTCAACTTTATTTAAAGCAGCTACTTTGACAGAAAGATTAGATGGACCAACTAGTTGGACAGGAATTGACATAATTTAACAAACGAGCCAACAGCCAGCTGCAGCTGCGTGGCTGCTTTATGTATGATCAAACTGGACTGCCGTTTGGCCTTAAAATGGTTACCCTCTTTGAAACTGTATTTTATATGCAAGTTTCAACTTACCTCCCCCACTGAACTACTTAGGTACAATGCAAGAGGATTCACCAAATCATAAAAACAAAGCTAAATGACACGTTTTTTGAATTATACAGATATTACTGCCAGTGACTACCACTTATTTATTCTTCATAGTTTCTGCCTACATTCAATGGTTCTGAAAACACATATCCCATACATGTATGTCCTTGGGAATCGATCCAGGTTCACACTCTTCTTCTGCCTCAAACTTGGGAGATGTTAGATTACTCAGGAGTTTCTCTTATTAAAATTGTAACTATTATGTAGACTGCTCTAGAACACTTGACATTTTTTAAAAGTACATGGATACCTCAGTCCCAACGACTCCAATTTCATTTGGAAATGTCTATAGCAGGTCTACAACAGTTGACATAGGGAACACAGACTCACAAGAATTAAGAAGTTATTAATTAATATTCATACCCATTTGTTTTTTCTGCTCCAGCAAGAAACGCCCAGTGTGCTAAGACTCCAAGAGAACCAGAAAGGAGGTCCCCCTGTCCACCACATCTCCGGCTGCTTCCTTCGTGACTGCATACAAGTACTATGAACAGACAAACCAAAAACAGTCATGTGCATTTTTTCTTCTATTTACAATGATATCACTGCAGCTGTGAGGGTTAACCTCTGAGGCACACAGCAATTAACAGGTGAGAGATTAATCACAGGCAGCAGCATATGCTGAAATACACTAATCTTAAAAAAAAAAAAAAAAGTTATTGCATTAACATTTAAAAAATACTTTTCTAATTACTTTTCAGTCCCTTACAAATAACATCGCAAAACATATACCCTTTCTCCACTTCACTCAGCCTGCACAGAAGATTCGGTCACTAATGAGTTTAGTGATCCATATGAACTGATGCTTGCCATGATGAGCAATCACCCCAAAACGGACCACGTCCCTCCACAAAGCCATTGCACAAACGCAGCTCTCCAGAGTCTCTGACCTTCAGAGTTTACAAAGGTGAAGGTGTTTTACAGAGAGTAAATGCAAAGTAGAACTAAAAACTCAAATCTTCTGCCATGCCCATCAGAAAGATATTTTACTGAAAACATCCTTTTCCTCAGGCTTTGTAAAAACCATATGCAAAGACAGATCTCTTTTTCTGCCAATCAACAGTGTCCTCAGCATCCGTGTATGTTTCTGTCAGCAGTGTCGCTGTGGGTAGGCTCTGTCAGAATATCAGATGTTACATTTCTATTTTAAATATACAAAGGACCTTGGTCAAACTGATCTCTCTGTAGCGCTTTAACTATGAAGAACATGCAAATGGTTTCACTAAATTTAACTCCTTTGTTCTCCACTCTCAACAAGCCCAAGCAGGAAGCCTGAAGGATACATAAGGCATACAAAAAGAAAACGGCATCAATTCTGCTGCCCTTCTCTAAACTATCCTGTGGGTATGTATCTATCCTTAGCTTTCCTTCTTGCTAGGCTCTGAAAAAAACCCAGGAGAAATTTATTTTCCTCTCCTAGGAGAACAGAAGAGCTGGCAGAATCGTCAGTAGCCAAGCAGTAATCCTTAGCGGAGCTACTCAGGTTCAGGGCTATGCACACAATCATTTGTGCGCTCCCGAGCACGCCAAGTACGCAAGCAAAGTATAAAGCAAGACACTGCTTGGACAACAGCTCTTACCTCAATTTTCTCAAGTCACCTGGGCTGGGTTTCTCCAAGGTGTATGAACAGAGCAACCCAGATGTTTTAGAGGGAGTACTATCCACATTTTTAAAAGGAATTTTTCTCTTACAAAATAATGGGAAAAATCTGCACAAAATTGAAGGACTTGCAGGTGAATCTTCTTAAATAGCAAGAGGTAGAAAACTACTTAAAGCAAGTAGACCATTTCCAGTTCATTAGCATAGTTCATTTCTGCTTTTTGTCACTCGGTGCAGCAAAGAATTGTACTTCACTTCCATTTCCGACTGATTCTTCCAGCAGTAATTGCTGGGCTCGTGAGGCCAGACAGTTGTGCATTTTTGCTGCCACTGAGAGGGCAAAGATTCATTAGTCACCTCGAACACAGCAGACATCGCTGCAGCGTTGCCAGCAGTTAATTTTCCCAATCACTCTTCTCCCCTCCCCCCCAAAATTAAGATTCTGGATGTGTTTCTCAGTGAGCAGTAGTTAATGTCAGAGTATGTCCAGTAATCATTATACCAGCATTGCAGAATTCAACAATTTGCTTTTTCTTTTCTTATTTTTTTTTTTTTTTTTTTTTTTAAATACAGTGCTTTAGAGAAATTACCTCTAATTCTGCTACTTTGAAGATGGTATCTCACAGGATTTTCTCTTTGAGAGCTTGAACTCCTGGCAGGAGGCAGAATGGAAATCCTCTGTTCAAAAGCTTTGGGGCCTTCTGACTGACAGCTGAGCACAAGCCCCTGCTTATTAGCTGTATGTCACCATCTGCCACTATTCTGTAGCCCCACAACCTTCCAGTCAGTTTTGAGCTGTACAGGAAAGCAAGATCTCCTCAAACTAGGCCAATTATAATACCCCGCTACAAAAAAAAAGAAGCGGTCTTTTGTTTGTGGTTTTTTAAAAAGTAAGTCTCAAATATGTGCAGACTACCTCACAGGCAACAGAAAAGCAGACCTTTGTACTCTGCACAGAGATGCTGGAAAACAAATCCATGCAATAGCTTCAAAGAAGCACAACTACAGGAAATTCACTTGAATGAGGGGGGAAAGGTATAATGCTCCAGCAATTCTTGTGCAGAGGCTCAGTTCCTCAAAGAACATCTCAAAATAAAAGGATGATGAACATTACAACAGGCAATGGGAAAAGGAATGAAAAACTCCCCTGAAGTATAGTCACCGTTAAGAGCTTTTAAAATAAAAGAAGGAATCCCACACTACTGTCAAGACAAACTGGCATGCTGCCAAATCCACAAAGGACAAAGTCTTCCTGATGCTTTTCCCAAGCCTTCTCCTAGAACAACAAAAATAAAACTGCTGTCTTCCCACTCCCCCAGTCCCACATCCCCCACTAAATGTCTGTGACCCACTGGCCAGATCAAGCAGTTCTTTAAGGACCACAGGGGATGACGTCCTTATACGCTGCACTGAGCAGTGACAACCAGTGGCAACGTTACAAGACCTCGATTAGATGGACATGACTGAATAGTCCGTGATGATGCTGAGAAGGCAGGTAGTTCTATTCCCTGGACAGATGCAGAACGATGTATTTACACGGGGATGAAGTATTTTTCGGTCCATTGCCCAGTGAGGCTATACCATGTTCAACTAGGGGTGAACACGTACGTCAGAAAGCTTAGAAAACGTGGTTCTTCCAGTCTGGAATAGCTGAGGAGGTGACTGGATGCTGGACAACAGGGATACTGCAAAGACTGAAATCACCACAGTGTGTCAATGTTGAAAGGCAGCAACCGGGGCCACTTAAGGTCAATTAGTCTGACACTAGTCCCAATCAAAACAATGGAGAGGTTCATCTATAGTTCAACTGACAGACCTCAAGACGTAGAAGCACACAACTAATGCCGGTCAAATTGGCTGCTGGGGCAGGGTGTCTTGTTTTGGTTTTTAATAGGTCTGGGCAACCAAATCTGATGTCATGATTTCACAGGGTGATTAATCGAAAAAAATAACTCAGTATAATTAATGGACAGTCTTTTACTGAAATCTGATTTATGCCAAGCAGCTTTCTGAAAAAAACCCTACTCCCTAGCACTTACCCATGGAGCATACATATACTATCATAACAAAAGGCTAGATGAAATAAAAATGTTATCATTGAAGAAATTGCTGAATGAAGTATGGCAAGGAGATCCGCTAAAGTCAGAACAACCACAACCCTATTCAACAGTTTCAACATAATCTCAACAATTAAACAGCGCATAAATATTGCCAGAGCTGTACACAGCAAATACAACATGTCCCTCACATACAGTCACCCAGATTTCTTGCTTACCTAAGTCCATCGAAACAGTTTGTACTGAAATATGGGTGCAACAGAAACAAAAAAAATGAAGGCTGTCATACTGACAGAATAGTGAAAAGTAGAAATTCAAGAGTTTTACGTTCCACACAATTCAAAATTCTGCCCCAGACTTCCAGGGTAACTATGGCCAAGTCATTTAGTAGCTCTATGCTTAATATATTTCAGGCCATAAAAAAAGTTACCATCACTCCCTTTTCAGCACTCCTTGAAGATAAGATAAACATTAGCATTTGGGGAAGCATTCAAACCACGGTGTGATGCTTAACTATACCATTGCCAGCAAGTTTTAAGCTGAAGGAACTCCCAGCCCAAACTGTGCTGGCAGATCAAAGCCCAGAAGAATGACCCATTTACAGGTATTGTATGCTTAATTAAAAAACCAGCCTGTTACATAACTGAAAACAGCTGCCCTCTCTTTGAAGGAAAAAAATTAGAATTTAGTAGTTTTGCTGAAATCAAGCACTATGAGTTAACTAGGAAGCACGAATTTTGATATGGCTGTACACGGGCAGCCCTATTTACAACACTACTCCTAGACACATTACAATTAGAAAACCAAAGGCCCACGTAGTATAAAAAGTAATTTATGTCTGTGTGTTCTTGATTTGCAACATTCGTAGTAGTGAAAAAACCCCTCCAAAAAGGGAGTAATTTCTGATGTTTTTGTTTAAAACACAGAATGTGAAATATAGGATAGCTAAAGGTTAAACACATAATACTGATGATGATAAAGAAGGCTAAAGAGCCTATGTGAAACATCACACTTTCTGAGGCTGCAGACCAAAAGACAGCTTGGAGATTAAAACTTAATTCTTGAATCTCGGATGTTCTGAACAAGTTCTCTGCATTTGTTTTCCTCTTTTCCTCTTATCCTAATGTGCTCAAGGATCCGCGCAGGAAAAGTACAACCATTCTGACTTCTGATATGATCCAACTGGATTAGATCAGCTAACATCAGCTACCCCTCAAACAAATACTCTCGTTTAATTAAGAGACTTAAGATTTCCATTTTCTGTGCAAAATAATATAGCTGTCAAGGACCATTTTGCTCCATCGAATGCAGGACTCAGGTTTAGACCATTATCAGATCTTGAGTAAAATCTTTTACCAATATACATCTCTGACCTGGCAGATATTCATACCAGTAAGAAATTTATCTTTTTCCTTTTGCAAGTTAGTTCACAAAAGCACATAGCTGGAGATTGTGGGCTCCCAGAAACATGTCCCAGAGTGCATACAGACAGGGAAACCGGTGTTGATGACTTGGGCTGGAGAAATCACTCAACTGATGTGGAAAATGTAAGTTGGCTTTTATATAAAGGGTGCTTATACTTTTATATTCCCTAATCACACTTTTAAAACTTAGATAGGTCCTTGAGTGTGAGACACCAGGCAATTTAAGTTAAAAGAAAATAATCCAAATTTTATATTACGTTTCTTGGATAGGTGCAGGAGCCAGGGGACGGATGTGATGACAGATGAGATGAGCAGTGCCAGGGAGACAGCAGGCCGGGCCGCATGTGCAATGGAGAGGACAGCGGCACAGTGGACAGGAACCATAACCTCCCTGTTATGCTCACTCTGCGGAAGCAGGAGTGGAGACGAAGGTGCTGCCTCCCAGTTAAAATCTTTGCAAAATTTGCTGGGGAGCTGGACACCGTAAGAGCTTTTAGCTAAGTTAGCTAGGGACTAACAAGCACTGAATAACTTCCTTTCTGGCTGTATAGGGAATGAATGGCAAAAATTACAAGTACTGCTTGGGAATTCATGGAAAAAGCTGGCTTTTTACCCATATTCAGTACTCGGTAATCCCTCTCACATGCTGCTTTGCTTCTCTTGACCATAGCTGCAGCAACTGGAGAGAAATTATGTTTGGCTACTGGCTCCAGGTAAAAGCACTCACACACAGCAGCGGGCTGGTTACCCGTAACGTCTGCCTTTTGGAAAGGAGGAGAGGACAAACACAGGTACTGGGGAAAATACAGAAAAACTTATTATAACATTAAAAAAAATCCAAATCCTCTACTTCAAGGACCTAACCAAATTTTAAACATGTTAGGAACTAAGACTGGTATAACCACACTTTATTATTGACCAGTTCTCCAAAGAATAATAAAAAGAAAACCTTAGAGAGCTGTGCCATAGTGAATAAAAGCTGACTTACCTTTTACCCACAGGCTGAGTACTCATTCCTACCCTGGTCAGTGATGGCACTGATATCACCTACCAAGAGCATGGTGAAGCTCATCTTTGTAGAGCAGGGAATCAACAATTGTAGACCAAGCTATAATGTGAAATTGCAAAAGGAAAGAGAAAAAGAGTATATAAAACTTAATTTAAAATCTTGGTGATTATGTTTACAGGGCAGTTGGCAGCTCATAACTGGAATGGAGACAAATTTTAGAAAAATCTCCTTTATAGTGGAGGACTGCTACTGATTTCACAGAGGCCATGTACGTGATTCAGTGCTGATTTTAAAGCCATAAGGAACCACCTGCACCATCTAATCTTGATCTGTAAAAACAAACCTCAAAGGTATCCAGACACTTCACAGTTTGGGAATCTGTCAAAGTTCTAGGTATGTTACTGTCATAGCTAATTTCTTTGTCTGTTAATAAAATCTGCCTTACTTTTAATCTGAATTTATTAAGCTTCAGCTTCCAATCAGAATTTATTGTGTCCATCTGCTTAGATTACAGAGCTATCTGCTGACAGTAATCCTTCACCAACACCTGTACCTCCAGCTCACTATTAAATCACCTGATAACCTTTTTCATCTTCAACTAACAGAAGTAATTTGTCTACTGAATTTCCTACAGACGCATGAATAAAAGTGTTGTGGAAATAACCACTACAATCACGCTAAGCTATAAAGTATTCACCAAGCCAGTCTTCCCTGCTGCAAATTCAGCATCCTCAAAAAGCCTTCCTTGCACAACAGCCAAGCACAGAACGCTAAAGCTACATCGCTAGTTTTGCAATTTCTGTTTTTCCTGGAGGGCATTGAGACTTACTTTTTTCCAGAAAGCATGCATGTAGTATATTCCCAAAGGAGAAAGTTTAAAAGTGATATATGGAAACTACATATCAGTGTGCTAAGCACATTTCAAGCAGGGAATGCCTGAAAACAGGTACGGCTTAAGCACTACAAATGGATGATGACATGAAAAATAAAAGGCAAGAGAAGTACACAGATCTTTTCATAGTATTTGATTGTGCTCAGAGGACATTGGCCTGTACCAATGATCTGGATTTCCCTCACACTGGAATCATCATGTATGTTGTCTCAGCTGAAAAAAAATGACATCAGATCAAAAGAATAGATAGATGAAAAAAGCAGAAGTTGAGAGCGAAAAACCTGGGAGAGAATTCAAGGTCAGTGACACGACAACATGTTCTGTGTTGTGGCACAGAGCAGAGAGTAAATCTCCTTTCTCAGTGTAATTTTGCATTTGAGAAGCTTTTAAAAAATTGACTGACAGTAACTCCCAGACCCAAAGAGCATTCTTGTTAAAAGGAATCTGAAGTCTATAGTTTCTGCAAAATTCGCAGGACCCTTCTTGCAGGCAACACGAACCCTAAAAACAGTGTTTGCAACAGACGTTATAAACGGTATTAAACCTGACAACTGCTTTCTTACAGCTCAGCAATGCTGCCCGTAATGTCTGTAATCCAGGAGAGAGAAAGCATCAGTGATAGAACCAAGGTAAGAACAAGAAAGCAGCCTATAGCTGGACATCAAACAACTGCTATAAAGGCACAGAACTGTTTTTATTTCAAATCAAAAAGCCACTTAACTAAGAGAAAAAATATCAGAACACAACAGAGACAAAGAACAAGGGGGGGGAATAACGAAAAGCCCCACAAGCCCGCAAGACATACAGCAAACTTGTGCCACACCTGAACATTCAAAACTAAAATTGGAAAGAGTTTCAGTTGTTTCCTGGTTTTTTGAATCCTGCATGACAAGAGGCAATGGAGACTCTGTCTCCCCTCTCTCCAGCAACGGTGGAGGTACACTTATTTTAAGAATAACAGCTCAAAAGGAGAACAGAGATATACTAGGTAATGTGCTCAATCTAAAGCACTCACCCAGTTTTCCCATCTTTCATTAAAAAAGCAACAATCCTGCATAAAGAAGAACAAGTTTGACACAAAAACAGTGCTTTAAAGCTCTCTAGCTGGCATAAACTGGAGCCAGGATATTTTATCCTCTGGCAGAGTTTATTCTCCTTTAAGCCTGGCCTGACTGTCCAAGGTTACAAATCAAGTCTGCTACGGGTACAAATATGACAGCAGACTTCATGCAGGGCAACTTAGGTACTATATGACTGACCAAAGTCCTTCACCACATAGGCGTAACTATATTGCTTCCAGATCCCAGCTTGCTTCACAGTCTGCTATAGTATCTGTACTAATGGGGGTATGTGGAAGGTGGCTCTGCACAAACCAGTTGTCATATTACATCTGTTTTTCTGTTATAAAAGATAATAATAGTATTCTGTATTAATTTAGCAATGACATCTGCACTTACATAGCTAAGGATTTTAAGGACAGCTAAGGATTTTAAGACAGTTCACAAAGAATAAAAAATTAATTTCTCAATACCTGTGTAATGTAAAACATATGCTATAGCCATTTAAATGAGAAATAAAATCAGCAACTTTTTTCAGCAAATAAATTAAGTTGCACTCTTTTAAAATATGAATTTACACAAATCATCTAAAGGTGATCTTCAAAGACAGCCACCCCTCCCCTTCAATCTTCAGGGGAATACAGTCAACCAGTTACTATATATAGTCCAACCGCTGGACTACGACTGAAAGCAAACAAACAAAAAAATCACATCGCTAAAAGCAAAAGGCTTCACTTACCTTTTTCTCCATCTGAAATAAGATCTCTTTCTCCCTTTTGAACAACTGTCAAATTCCCCATGGCTTGGCTGAGTCTTAACACACATCCATGATGATCACTACTGTCTACGGGGTCTCTAAGCTACAACACAAGAATTCCATACACAGTACATATTGTGCTACTAGAACAACATCTCTAACACATGCTACTTCAGCATATGTACGGGGGGGGGAAGCATTACCTTCAGTGTTTCCAAGTATTTTTATTCTATACCCACTGCAGTGCCAAAAAATGCATAAGAGTCTTCTTTAAAGAGCTCTGTTTAAGAATATGCATTGTTGTGGCAATTATCTCATGGAATAAAAACCCAGAAGAATTCGCATATAAGAAACAGCACATAATGTTTAACCCAGTAATAAGTTGTTTATTTTCACAGACTAAAAGACTAAACTTACACATACTTAAATATCAAAAAGGAAAACAGCTTACCATGGCTTCATACAGTCTACTAAACTCCATGTAGTTTGGAGTAAGAATAGCGCGCTGGTAGCCTTGAATAAGAGAAGGCTGCTGGGAAATGAGCCACAGTCCATCCTGCAAAAACCAGTAAGAAGAACATTTACTGAATAGATTCTTAAATGTCAGACCACTGACTGAATGAAGAAAATACTTACAGCATCAATAATGATAGGAATTCCTTTGACTTTCGATTTTTCTATAATACCCTGCAAAAAAATACAGATAACTTTAAGATGTTTGCTAATTTAAATCTCGTAAGATCTGAAACAAATTCATACAATAAATCTGACCACATAAGTTGTTTCTACAAAATAAGATACAAAAAATCTGTTATATTCTGCAAAGCAATATAAGACATTGTCATATCAACTGGTGATTTTACAGTTACATTTTTCTCTCCCCAGTTCAAGTATAAGCAGTGTCAACAGGGTTTCCGTAACTGGCGACTTGGTGTTGATATGCAAACAAGCAAGCAATCTAACTCACTCTCCCTGCTGTAGGAGGCATGCAATCATAGAATCATAGAAGAGTTTGGGTTGGAAGGGACCTTTAAAGGTCATCTAGTCCACCCCTCCCCACGATGAGCAGGGACATCTTCAACTAGATCAGGTTGCTCAGAGCCCTGTCCAACCTGACCTTGAATGTTTCCAGGGATGAGGCATCTACTGCCAACGTAGTAAACATACATCTCCAATTAAAAAAAAGAAAAGAAAAATCCAAATGAGTACTGCCATGATAGAAATCTATCAAGAACTATAACACTAATTTTAGTTGCTTTTCTGATGATAGTCCTATTACGGTATTTGAGTTTATGTACAAACCAACATCCCGAGACAAGCAGTACGTAAGACATGTCATTTCACTTGTGGTCCTGGAGTTTATACTTTCAAAACAAAACCAAGGCAGCCCAGACAACAGACCATTTGCAAAAGTGTTTTTCAGAAAGCAGTATCTACCAGCAGACCATCTGCCCTTGTTCTCTCTCCTAACCGAGCAGTGGCAACGACTGATACTCAAGCTTTTTTAATGAGCAATGGCTGACAGTCAAGTTTTTTGAATGTTGGTCATTACCAACTTGTCTTTGAAGCTAGAGAGTTTATTTTTTTCCTGTGTAAGATAAAAGAGGATGGTATCCATCCAAAAGTATGATTATTTTGAAGATTATTAGGCTCTTCAGATTAGCTATCATATGGCACTGAGCTCCACAGGTTAGCAAGACATGTCAGGAATAAGGAAGAAGTTTTTGATTAATGCTCAGGGTATTGAACGTACCTCTGTTCTTGTACTGTGGTCAAAATAAACACCACCCACCTTGCTTCCTGTAAATTATTAATTATGGAATATACATATCCTCACAAACTTATTCCTAGCCGATTCTGATTTTTCCAATACCAGTAGAAATCTTTCCCTTCTATTTTTAAACGTATGACCAGAATTTAGCAGCGTGCTTCAACACAACACTACTTTTGTTTGTTTGGGCACTGTTTGCATGTTGGAAGCATGAGACTGAAACGCTACCCGCTGCTCCAAGCCTGAAGACTTCTCTCAACACAAGCTGCAGCTACATTAGAAGCTACTACAGAATAAAAACCCTTCCATGACATACACACGTTTGCACAGGTTTCAGCTTGGGCTGTGTGGCACAGACTGCCAGGTGCCCACCCTTCTCAGGATCCCAGGGGAACACCACAAGTCTTCGCTTATATTCAGCTACTTAAATAATTTTGAACCAATCGCAAGTTTTACACAACTCATACCATTCAGCTACTACTAAATTATTCAAATTTATGAATAAGTATATTTAACAGCTGTGCAAGGATGGAATCTTAAAACATACCTAGAATTAGTTGTGGCATACTGAAAACCAGAGTGTCTTATTTTCAAAGGTTTTAAGAAATTTATGAGACAGAGTCATTTCTTTATTCATTAATGTTAATCTGCACAGATGTGCACAGCTCAGTTTTCCTTCACAGAAACTGTACTGCTTTGCCCCTGCTGTGTTAAGTTCATTAACAATTATGTTTAATTTGACTCACTTGGTTATAATAAAACTGGCTGTGGATCTAGCAAACAGGTTTATGGGTTTTTTTTTTCTGTAAAAATTAATGTTATACACCCAACAGTCCAATTATTTTTGAACTATACTAAGCTATTCTGATTAGATATCATATGGCACTGAGCCCCAGAGGTTAGCAAGAAAGCATTCAGATCATCTTCCCCCAATTTTTGAAAATACAAATACCATTTACTGCAACCTCGTTTTCTAACTGGTTTTAATTAGAGTATTTTTGTACATTAGCAGCTTCACCAAACTCCTTCAGTACACTTAAAATGATTACTGTTCTACTTCCCACTAATACGAATCACCAGTTTATTCTAGTATGTCAACTTTAGTAAGCCAGTCTTTCATGACACTTCATTTTTTAAAACCAAAAAAAGATTTCCCCAATGGATTCCATAAGGAAGTCTGAAGGAAGACATCAGATCTCAGAAGTCCTTATCCTTCGAAACTATTCTCTTAAATTCATTATGAGCAATCCAGGGAACTAATTTTGCCAAAGTTCTGTTCCCAAAACAGTTAAGGTTTGGCTATTGCTGTTATTGTTTGGCCCCTTTTCAGGTTTCCTCATAATTGTCACCTTGACTACTGGTTAGAATTTCTGTTTCTACCTACACATGTATCTAACAACAGGCTAAATCAAGAATCCTGAAGATCCATTGTCCAAAAGAATGTAAATATAAGAAAAAAAAATGTGGGAGTTACAAAGCATGAAAGTATATGTACAGGTAAATACCTTCTGGAAGTCTGGGTCAGTGGTACACTCCAGAGAAATAAGGCATTTCTTCCTAATAACGTTTTGAGTTCCTACCTCTCTAGCACGTCCTCCACAATCCTGAGGTATTTGACCTCTGCTCTGAAGAGAAATTTCATCTTGCTAAGTAAAACCTGCTGGCCAAACAACTTTTATTGTGTAATGAGTCTCTGAGGTATCAATTTCTAATCTAACATACTGAGTGATCTTTGCTTTTTCTTTTCTTCTTATAAAACAAACAATCAGAGGATACAAAGTCCTCTGTCTTATTCAGAAAGCTGATTTTTTATTTAAAAAAAAAAACAAACAAAAACCTATCCTAATTATTTTCCTTTTCTCTTCCTTCCTTAAACCCAGATGGAAACTGCTTGGAGACTGACAAGGAACCTCAGAGAAGAAGTTCTGGGGAGGGAGGGGGTAATCTGGCAACCATAATAAAGCAGTAACAGAGATAAGAGAAGCCCTGTAAGCCAACAACCCTTTTGAAGGACACAACATTCATTGGAGAATCTGTTTCCTATTGATTGTGGACATCTCACCTGCTGTCATTTAAAGTCAAATGGCTCACCACTGGAGAGCAATTCAGCCCATGCAGTTTAGACACCGCATTTAGGGTGGGATGAATCACCAACAGACATACCTGTCTCCCCTCAGCTATCACAGAGGGAGCAGAGACACTTTACTGCTTTATTTTTAGACACAAGAATTAGGTGAGATGAAGCCCACTTTTAAACACTCTATTACTGCAGATACTGTATAAAAAAATATTTGCATAAGAGGTGTTTACAGCAATAATGGCAACATCCTCTATGCAGACTATTTTCTTCCTGGAAGCAAAAATCATTTTTCAGCTGAATCTGTATCTCTGTATTTGGCATGGACTTTCCTAGTTTAATACTTGTAGCATACAGAAGAACAGCTCATCACTGTTAATTGCACAATTAACACAGCTCAGACTAACTTTACTTCGCACCAAAACCTATTTAACAGTTTCTGATCGGACTCTATGTATGCACAGGAACCATCTGTTCAGTTTTATCCCATGTAACGATTATTTATATGGAAAAGGATTTAGAAGAAGAACATTGCTAATTAAAAATACTAAGAAATGTTACTAAGACCAGACCTGAAATCCAAACACCAATCACACAAGGAAACAGCAACACATACGAGTATCAATGACAAAACCAAGACATCGCCACTTCCCTTCAAACAACACTTTGAATATTAAGATTTTGGAGATTCTAGCTCCAAGATATCCCAGTGGACTACCTTTCTGTGCACAGAATGTGTTACACCACAACAGCGGTGGTTCAGCTTGGTGCAGAACAAGGCAGGAGCACTTCCTTCACTCAATTCCTAAGCACTCGAGGACATCCAGAAATCAAGGACTGGACTCACAGGGCAACCTTGGCACTAGCCACAAGTAGAGAGGACAATGAGGAGGAGGAGAGAGTGACACACTGCTGTCAACCAACCTCATGACCTACAGCCACACTGGTTAGCTAAGACATCAAAGACTGAAATTCGGATCTTTCCTCTGCGTTATTCACAGCCAGGCCCAAATTTCAGTCTCCTACCTTTCATGTAGAGTCCTAATAAAAGGGGTTTGGGCAGTCTCTTGCTAAAGATATTCTGTTTTGTATGAGTTAGCTAAATACTTGGTGACTCTCCAAAACAGTGATTCCACAGCCCACAACATTTGAATGAGAAAAGGGAAACAGGTTCCAGCTCGCTGTGATTAAAATCAGCAACAATGAACTGTATTACAGGACTGCAGAACTCCTGCTAGAACAAATCTGTAACAAGAGCTTCCCCTCCTAATAATTGAAGACCAAAGTTTAAGCTTCTACCCTAATTAAGCCAAAGAGGAAATGACCTGGGATTCACATATCCCACAAAGATGCTGTATGGGACAACCTCCCACACAGTTATCATTTGTTACTGGCACCGACTACTCAACATTTAAGATTGCCCAAAATAATATTTCAGTGATTGCAATTTTTGGTGGAGGTGGTTGAGGGGAGGAAAGCCAGAGGGGGTAAAATTAACCTGAATCTACTCCCACTCTACTCTTGAAATACACAATTTCCTGAAAAATCTTTGTTCTGTGACGGGTTATCCATGACTTGTATGCAAGCAACCTACTCAATAAGAACTGAAAAAGAAGTTGTGTCACAGTAGAAACCAGTGCTCTATCTGGGTAAAGGTAACCTTTACTGTAATTGTGAAAATCTACAAAGTTCGGGTGAAGAATTTGTATGTTTTAATTAATTCTTTTATTATCATGGAAGCTAGTCCTTGAAATGCAATGCATTCATTTTAGTAGAAATCTGTGTTATCTGTCTCAACTTTCACAAGGGAATTTTAAAGTAGATTCCCAAAACCAAATT